TCCTTCTCAAGTTACACTCTCAGTACCCGGGCGATATCGGTTGCTTTGTTATCTACTTCCTGAACCAGATGAAGCTGCAGCCTGGGCAATGTATGTTCCTGGGAGCAAATGAACCTCACGCCTACCTCTACGGAGGTGAGTTTCTTCATAAGAAGCAAGCACCTGCATGAAATGGCGTGGGAGAGAGTTGGCATTTTGGGTCTCTCTTAACCAAGGGGCCACAGTTGAGTTCCCACATTATCTAAGCCAGCATTCCTCAACCTTCGTTGATTTAAGATGTGTGGATTTCAGTTCCCAGAATTTTTTGGGAATCCAATCACTTTGGTCACTTTAAGGTGTGCGGATGTCAACCTGCGGAATTCAACCTTGGTCACTTTTAAGACGTGTGGACTTCAACTCCCAGAATTCCCCAGCCAACATGGCTGGCTGGGGAATTCTGGAAGCTGAAGTCCACAGATCTCAGTATTGCCAAAGTGACTTCAGCCATAATGTGACTTCCTGACTCGGTGTCAGATCTGAGCACCACTAGCTAACGAGCGCCTGTCCTTCCTCTACAGACTGCATCGAATGTATGGCCTGTTCCGACAACACGGTGCGCGCTGGTCTGACGCCCAAATACATCGACGTCCTGACCCTGTGCGAAATGTTGAACTACACCCCGGCTCCTGCCAGCTCAAAGTTGCTGGCCCCGACTCAAAGCCGCCTGGATCCTTGCGTCTCCCTGTACGACCCTCCTATTCCAGATTTTGCTGTCATGAGGATAGAGGTAAGGATTCCCACTCTCGTGAAATCGCATTTGTCGCAATTTACAAGTGTAATGTTGTGATCCACCAGCAGCCTGCGGAGCTGGCAGCGGAGTAGGATAGCGATGAGGTTGAGGAAGAACAGGGGCCAGTCCTGGAGTCTGGGGAAGGCCCAGATGAGGGCTCTGCGTCGGAGGCAGAGATGGGGCCAGGGCCATCGGGGAGTGATGTGCGGACTTCGGAGCCTCCAGAGGCTGACAGTAGAGAGGCAGAGGAACAGGAGGAGCCTGTTCCTAGTGCACGTATGACAAGAGCTGCCAGAAGGCAGGAGCAGATAAAGCAGAGAGGATGATTCGGGAGCAGGGCCAAGAGATGATTGGCCCCTCCCATAAGGCTTAAAAGACCAGCATCGGCTCTTGGCCTCTTTGCCGGAAAACAACGTTGAGAGATTGGCTTCTTGTTTCTCTGTATTTCTTTCTTGTCAGCGTCTTCTGTTCCTGAACTGTTGCCAAGAAAAGCCTTTGGCAGTTTGCCTAATTATCCCAAGGTCAGAGATAAACTAAAGACTGGTGTTTTGAGGACTTTGCTTTCATTTCATTTAGAATACGCTGAGAATGAGTTAATTCTCAGCTGTTTTAATAAAATCTGTTTGTTTTTTTGGAACTGTTTTGCATTTAATATCAATTACGTGGGCCTGGGTCACAACATTAATGAGCAGGCTCCATTCGGGCCGTAAGAGAATTTCTCCCTCTCTTTGGCTGTGTTCCTGCTTGCTGCTAAGACATAACCGAGTTTATTCAGCTTTTGCTTCATCCGTTGCTATAGTGTGATCCAGGTTTTAGGACATAAGACAATATGAGGACTTGGCCAGCTGTGTTTCATGATTAAGCAAACCATGGCTTCATGTATGTAATGCCAACCCAGAAATCACCTGGTTAAGAGGTTAACATAACGGGTAGACCAGTTTCTCTGAGCAGAAAAGGATGATCACTTATTCTGGTAGCATCCCCAAAATTTCTTTGGGGAGAATTTTCTAAAAAAACAGAAGGAATGGACAGACAGTTGTGGTTCTAATTTTGGTTTTGGTTTTTTTTAAATAAATCTGTGCCTTCAGTCCATTTTCTTCTGGAATTCAGCTCCTTTGTCCTATTTGGGATGTAGAAGGAATTCTGGTTTTGGTCTGTTACAGCTTCAGTTGCTTCCTGTTCCAGTTTCAGCTACTTCCTGTTTGTTTCCCTTGTTTCTGTCCTAGTTTCAGTTGCTTCCTGTTCCAGGTTCAGTTGCTTCCTCTTCCAGTTGCTTCCTGTTCCAGTTTCAGTTGCTTCCTGTTTCAGTTTCACTTGCTTCCTGTTCCAGGTTCAGTAGCTTCCTGTTCCAGGTTCTGTAGCTTCCTGTTTCAGTTTCACTTGCTTCCTGTTCCAGGTTCTGTAGCTTCCTGTTTCAGTTTCACTTGCTTCCTGTTCCAGGTTCAGTAGCTTCCTGTTCCAGGTTCTGTAGCTTCCTGTTCCAGGTTTACTTGCTTCCTGTTTCAGTTTCACCTACTTCCCATTACAGCTTGTTGCTTCCAGTTCAAGCTTCAGTTGCTTCCTGTTTCAGTTGCTTCCTGTTTCAGTTGCTTCCTGTACCACCAACGCAGGGAAACTTTTCTTCTCTTTTACTTCCTGCGTCGAGCAACACCTCTGCTTTTTTCTTACAGATCCCTTCCTCCATTAAGCTGTACCTCATTTCAGCCATCGATTCGGCAAGCATCTTGCTCACGGTCCACGGATCGGCCGTCGGCACTTCCACAGCAGCTGCATCTGAAATGATCCTACGTCCCGGCACTGTGTTGTTCATCTCTGCCAATGAGAGTCTCTCTTTGCATTTTAATTCCCCGGAAGGGATGGTTCTCTTCCGGGCTTGCTGCCTCTTGTAATAAGGGACACCAAGCAATTTTTCCTCCTTAGAGTAACTCAGGATCAGTAGAAGCTGCACTTGGTCTAACATCTGTCCGGTTTGTTTCATCCATCAAGGACCGAGGCTCAGGCTGCCCAGGAATATCAACGGTCTCCTCTCTTTGGTTGGCTTTTGGCCAACGCTCCATTGGTTCCAAAAATGTAGGGTTGGAAATGCTTTGGTAGCCCTGCTTGCCCCTTCAGCGGAGCCATACGGAGGCTGTGGGCGCAATGCTTTTGTTAATTCTGACTTGCCAAAAGAACACGATGTCTCTCAATAGATGCTTCTCCTGTGTCATGCTTCCTATAGTAGGGTGGGTGGCAGGTGTGAAATTCAGCAGGTTCTGGAGAACTGGTGGTGGAAATTTTGAGCAGTTCGGAGAACCAGCCAATATCACCTCTGGCTGGACCCAGAGTGGGGTGGGAATGGGGATATTGCAATATCCTTCCCCTGGAGTGGGTGGGGATGGAGATTTTGCAATATCCTTCTCCCAGGAGTAAGGATGGGAATGGAGATTTTGCAGTATCCTTCTCCTGCCACGCCCACCAAGCCACACCATACCCAAGCCACGCCCACAGAACCGATAGTAAAAAAAATTGAATTTCACCACTGGTGCGTGATCTCTTTTTATCTTAAGAGTAAGATAAGTGTTTTTACAACTTTGGCAACTTCCAAGACGGATGGACCTCAACTCACTCCCAGAAACCTCCCAAATTTTGAGGTTGGCAGATGAATGAGGTGGTTGAAGAGGGCCACAGAGTCATCGATGATGATTTAATTTGGTTAACGACAGTGGCCAAAAATTGGCAGTCATGTGATGGCTTGCCTAATGACTACACTAATTCGGGTCCCCCATTGCGGTCGTAAGCCGAGGACTACCTGAAACCTCTATGGAGATTCTCAAGTCATCCAAGGTCCCGGTTGTCCCCAAAGATGCCCTTTATCAAGAGGCAAGTGGACTTTCCTGTTTTTCTTTTGAAGACGTTTCGCTTCTCGTCCAAGAAGCTTCTTCAGCTCTGACCGGATGGTGGGGATTGGAAGGCTTTCCTCGGGGAGACAGACAAACCTCCAAGTGGCCTCAATGACCCTCTAAAAAGGATGCAAAGGACCAGCTGTCTGCAAGGAATATAAATCTCTACGTTCCCCACCATTCAGTCAGAGCTAAAGAAGCTCCTTGGATGAGGAGCGAAATGTCTTCTAAGAAAAACCAGAAAGCCCAGCTGCCTCTTGATAAAAGCACCTTTGGGACCTCCTGAAATGTTTTCACTGGGCAAGACTTCGACCCTGTATTATCCTCTTTCACACATGCACATACGCTGACTCTGGCCCTCAGACTGCACCCTGACAAGCATCCTAACCTGTAGACCTTTTGATCAAAGCACTAGACGTCTTAATGAGCCTTGAATATTGTGCCAATCCAGCCGTCGCATTAACCCATGATCTTTGGCCTACAGCTGTGATGGCGAACCTATGGCACGCGTGCCAGAAATGGCATGCAGAGCCCTCTCTGTGGGCACGCATGCCGTCGCCAACTGCTTTTCTGGTTTCCGGCATTTTATGGGCCGTTTTCAGGGCATTTTTGGGCTGTTTTCAGGCAGTTTTTGGCTCAAAAAACGGCCAGCAAACAGCCAAAAACCAGGTTGTTTTCCGAGCCATTTTCAGGCCCAAAAAACAGCCAAAATACAGGCATGTGCGCACTGGCCAGCTGGTCCTCGCAGGCACCAGAGCACCGGAAAACAGCCTGAAAACAGCCAAAAAACAAGCCGTTTTTCAGGTTGTTTTCCGAGCCATTTTCAGACCTTTTTCGGGGCAGTTTTCAGGCCCGAAAAACAGCCAAAAAACAGGCATACGCGCACTGGCCAGCTGTTCTTCAGGTTTCCAGTGCTCCAGCACGCACATATGCACGCGCATTCCGGTTTGGGCACTCGGTGCCGAAAAAGTTCGCCATCGCTGGCCTAGAGGTTAAGGCACCAGGTGGCTGCGAGTTCTAGTCCTGCCGTAGGCATGAAAGCCGGCTGGGTGACTTTGGGCCACTCACTCTCAGCCCAACCTACCTCAAAGGGTTGTTGTTGTTGTGGGGAAAATAGGAGGAGGAAGGGATTAAAAACAATATAGGCGGAATAAAAACCAAATAAATAAAAAATAAATGCTTTTGTTTCCCCAGGCGTGACAAGCTATGTTTCCTGGGTTGTTGTTTTTTTTAATAAAAAAATAGCATGCTATACAAACCCAGTTTATGGATGAGTATGCTGATCTAAAGGTCTAGCTGGCAGACTTACCAAGGTGAGGACATGAGTTTCAGATAAACAAAGGGACAAAGTGTGTAGCGTAAAAGGTACTTTATTCGATAGACGCTTTCCTTGGTTAGACTGTACAAAAAAAAAAAGACACACAATGAACCGAATATACAATAATATTAAATATCCTGTAAGATTGTCTTCTGTGCTATTCAGGTTTTTTTTTTAAAAAAAAAAAAACTTCATGTAATGCATTTTAGTGCTTTAAGGCAGCTTTGAAAATAAAGTCTATTGGGCAGATTTAGTGGGTGTCTGTTCTAAAAATGCCTGTAGAATCATCCGTTCACTCAGCTTCGCAGCAGAGAGCTGAGTGAAGATGCGTTTGTATAATGCCTGCTAGTATCTTAATTCTTCCCTTGCAAAATTACGTATACATATATATATATATCCTATAATTTTATACCAAATTTATATTTCGCTGATAAAGAAATAAAGGGAGACTAGCATAGATCTATTTCAAGCTATTTAGCTCTCATCAGCTAGCCATACCCTTACTCAGATTTGAATTTGGGCTGCCTACATGTTAGGCAGTTGAATTATCTTCTGAGCCACAAGTTCTCCTCCCTTCATCAGCTTGAGCCATGGGAGAGATTAAGCCCAAGTTCAAATCCAAGTAAGGGTATGGCTAGCTGATGAGAGCTAAATATCTTGAAATAGATCTATACTAGCCTCCCTTTATTTATCAGCGAAATATAAATTTGGTATAAAATGGTTTGTTGTGAATGCGACTGCTTGAGGGCTCCTGGATTGGAGCTGAAAGGCAAAAAGGATGCAGTTGCTCCCTCCCACATGCTGGGGTAGACAAGGTGTCTCGATAGAAAAACACTTAATATCCTATAATATATATAGGCTTTGGATTAGATCAGGAGTTTTCAAACTTGGCGACTTTTTAAGACTTCTGGACTTCAACTCCCAGAATTCAGTGTTAGCTGAAATTCTGGGAATTGGAAGTCTTCACAAGTCTTAAGAGTTGCCAAGTTTGGAGAACCTTGGACTAGATGATCTTTAAGATCCCATCTAAGCCTTAAATTCTGAGAGTCTATGACGATACGCGTCATTAAAGTTCATTGAACGAACTGAGTAACATGGGCTCCGTTGTGAACATTGTAGTTTCTGGTCCTGGACAAAAAGCATCTGTGGCAATCCGGCCAACAAAGGAGTCCTTTTTTTCCTAATAAATGGAAAGGAACTGTAGCTTTTTTTTGAAAAAAAATAAATAAATAGCAAAACCAAAGATATTGGTTTAGCTTAGTACAATTTTCGCCGCTATACTATAATATTCGCCACTATCGGCACAACTTCCTCCAAGCTAGTATTTGCCTCCTCCTCGGTGGTTAAGACTTCCAAATCTGAATTTCTACCGATTGTAATTCGGCACGGATGGAGGGAAAAGATTGGGAAATGCCGATTTTATAGCTCTACCAAGCCAATTCTGCAAAGAATGTACATACAAGGTCACTTTTTTAAAAAAATTAACTTGCTGGTGAGGTTTCCCAGCAGGGAAAAAAATAAAATAAAAAATAATCCCCCGTTACCTGCTAGTAACTGGATAGTTTTGATTAAAAATGTCTGGAGAAATCAGATTTGGGATTGAAAAAACCCAGATAACCAGTAGAAGGCAGCGTAGAAGCAGCTGTAATGCTGTGTTTTGGCTGCCATCTACTGGCCACCCGTAGCTTTTGCAACCCGCATCAGGAAGCTCTGCATAATTTCCGGTGGCATCTCTGTTTCACCCTGGGACCATGTCAAAGACGTTGACTTTGAGAGGGGTCTACGACAATTCACTGCAGCCGACTCGCCGTGGGGCAAGAGTTACACTAATATGTCAAAGAAATGGTGGAACAGAATCCTTAAAGGACGCAAAAGGAGGGACCAAATGAAATGTGAATGACCGAAATGAAAATAATTTTAAAAATTATTTCAAATGATGAAGTGGAATTGCCGAGTTAGCCACGGCAAAGTTAATCCCATTCCGTTTTGAGAGAGCCACAAGACATAAGCCTCAAGAGCAAGTTGTGAGTATGAGGAAGAAATGGCCTTAATTTTTTTTTGGGGGGGGGGGAGGAGGCTGCGAGCAGAAGCGAGATGTTTAGGATGTCGACACTGGGACATCCTTCTCAAATTGCAGGAATGCAGTGGAAGAACTGCAGATCATCTACGATCAAACTTGGGAGATGACATTGAGTTCCCCCCCACTCCCAACCAATGAAGCGAAGATGGACAATTTCATGTTGATGAACTCTACTACACTCTGATTACAACATCTCCCATCCAAGATCCAGAACATCCTATCCAACATCCAGAAATCCCACATCTTGTCACTAGAGATGGACATAGCGGCTGTCCCATCAACATCTCCGACATGTCGGTTGAGACATGCCGCTTCAGAACAACTGATTTAAAATGGTCAAGTACAGACCGTTTCTGTTCTGGGTCAGTCGGTGTTGGTGATCTAAGAAGACTAGATCTTGACTCTTCTTCCCCAGAACTGCTTGCCACACAAGTTACACACTTACACAGTCTCTGCAAACTGCCTAAAACTCATCCTTTGTTACAAGGAGGTCCAGAGGTGAAATGGGCTGAGAGCATGCAAGGGTCCTTTAATTTCATGCAGAAGATCCTTGGTGGTCTTCATGGGCTTTCTAAGCATGGGGGATGATAGGACCTTCGTCCGTTTGAAGGACACCAAGTTTAGAAAACATTAAAAGTAATGGATAGCTTGATAACGCAAGAGCTGTACGTGACCTGCAAAACTGATGAGCCCAGATATCTAAAAAGCTTCAACATTGTCCTCCTCACTTAGCTTCCCCTCTTATTTCCTTTACCGCCCCCCAAAAAGGAAATGGGTCCAAAGCAACCCCCAAAAAATCCCATCTACCAAATAAATCAATTTGTTCAAGAATTGTCAGCCATCTCTTGCACATTTAAGGCCAGTAGTTTCCCAGATTTGCAGTTTCGTGGCCCAACTTGCCCATGGATCCGAGTGGGGCATCCTTCAAACAGAAGGATAAGCTATTGCTAAGGTTAGGTGGCCTTGAGACTCTTTCAGGAGATTAATTAAAGGCTGAATATTAGAGCTCAGGCATCTTTCAACCTCCTTCCCTTTTACTTACTCCCTAAAGAGAATGGAATGAGCGACCGAATGGTTGTAGTAATTAAAGCCATCGACAGGCTGGCTGGAGACGAAGAAAGGGCCCACGTCCTCAAGAAAACGTGGTGCAACCTGCTCTCCCCACCTCGTGCAAGACAAGATCTCCATTCTAAAGAGGTCCTGCAGAAACATCTCAAGAACTTCGCTCTCGTCAGAAAAAGCAACCTGGGAGTAAATCTCTTCCTTCTGTCTCTATGCAGCATTTCCTCCCCCCCTTCATGTATTGACCTCCAATATATTGTAAACCTAGTCATCGGGATTGCTATCGTTCACTTTTACACGCACACACAGGTTTTCTGTTCACCTTTTATGGGGAGTAACCCTTGCCTCCTGATCAGTCCCTCAGGAGTGCCGAACCTGTCCAGAGAAGCAACCTCTCTTTGCACAGGGCATCCATCAGCCTCCTGAATACTTAACAGTTAATACACTTCTACGTCGCACCATCCAGAAGGCGCTTGGAGCTCTGAGCAAGGTGCCAACAGTGCAGTGCCTTGCCCTTCCAGGGGCCGAATCTCCAGAGTTGCCCCCACCCCCAGTCCCGCTGATTTGACCTAAAGTTCAGGGCTGGGCTCAGCGGGGATCCAAAACAAAGAGAGGAATTTGGGAAAGAAAAGTGCTGAATCCTTGACCCGTGTTAGTGCAGCCCTCCCAAGGCTTCTTCCTACTGGATGGAGCAGGAGGCGGAGTCGCCAAAGCAACAGGAGCAGAGCGAGGACGAAATGGGCTTTGGGGGGATCAGATCGAGATCCTCGTCGTCAGGGATCTCATCCAAGCGGTAGCCGTCCTGCAGCAGTTGCCGACTGAGATCCTGGTTGACCTGAGGGGGGAAAAACATATGGAATAATAACTTTATTCTGAGAGTCTGCCGGGTGATTTGGGACCGATCACCGGGAGATGGAGAGTTCTAGTCCTGCCTTAGGCATGAAAGTTGGCCGGTGATTTTTGGGCCAATCACCAGGAGACGGAGAGTTCTAGTGCTGTCTTGGACATGAAAGTTGGCTGGGTGACTTTGGATCAATCACCAGGAGATGGTGAGTTCTAGTCCTGCCTTAGGCATGAAAGTTGGCCGGGTGATTTTGGGCCAATCACCAGGAGACGGTGTTCTAGTTCATAGTGCTGTCACTTAATGGACAGAGTTCTAGTCCTAGGCATGAAGTTGGCGGGTGACTATGGGCTGATCGCCAGGAGACGGTGAGTTCTAGTCCCACCTTAGACATGAAAGTTGTGGGCCAATCACCAGGAGACGGAGAGTTCTAGTCCTGCCTTAGGCATTAAAGTTGGCTGGGTGACTATGGGCGATTGCCAGGAGACGGTGAGTTCTAGTCCCACCTTAGACATGAAAGTTGGCTGGATCACTTTGGGCCAATCACCAGGAGACAAGAGAGTTCTAGTACTGCCTTAGGTATGAAAATTGGCCGGGTGACTTTGGGCCAATCACCAGGAGACGGAGAGTTCTAGTCCTGCCTTAGGCATGAAAGCAGACTGGATGTCTTTGGGCCAGTCCCTTTCTCTCATCACAACCCACCTCTCAGGGCTGTTGTTGGGGGGGGGGGGGGGAGACAGGAGGAAGGAGTAGTGCGTGAGTTCTCTGCCTTCAGTTATATATAAAAATAATAATAAAGGCAGAATATAAATAAAATAAAACAATAACATCATTATTCAGGGCTGTCTCTAGAACTTTTAGCCGATCCATTTCAGAGACAAAAAGATGCACGCACAAGATTAAATTTAGCCCCAAATTCCACAAACGAGGATTAGCATTTGAATCCTAACTGGTACCTTCCTGCTGCAGCTCAAGTTTCCTTCTCAAAAGTCTCCTGAGGTTGGGAGCCCGAACAGGCACAGCAGGATAAGTGTGTGTAGCAAACACTTGCCTGTCTTAAAGAAGCTCATAAGAGAGCTAACCCAGGAAACAATTCTTAAATTACTTAAAATTCAATTATTAAATTATAAAATGCCAGACTTGCCTCTGCTGAGGAATAACCGGAGGAACATCTGGATTCCAGGTCATCACTAAGAGAAGAAAATGAAGGACAAGTTGAAAGGATGCTACAAGCCCCATTTTTAGTCGCCAACCCATCTGTAGAAACCAATGGGCCTCCCACAAGATTGTAAGAAGCTGCCCTGTGATCGATCTGCATTTTTCAATAAAGATTTGGGAGAGGCTGCTTAGGCGAAGTATTTATTCTTGGAGCTGAGAGCTAACCAACCTTTCCCCCCCCCCTCTAGCCACAATCTGAGATAATTATTTCCTTCTTTTGTCGTATAGCTGGCACTTGGTCGTAAACGGCCGGTCGTTAAGTCGAGGACCACCTCTGTAGAGCCAACTCAATTGAGGGGACAGGACTGTCAATCAAGGTTTTTCAGACCCAAAAAAGTCAAGCAGTGCTTACATGCCTCTCACCTGTCGGAATCAAGGGCCACCAAAGTTTCATCTGAAGTCTGGCTGAGCGCAGTGTAGCCCTTGTTGAATTTCACCGTCCTGGTAAAAGAAGAAGAAACTACCGTGAAACTACCATGCGCAGTGGGGGTGGAAGGGGAGAGTGTAGGGCGTGAACAGAAGGCCGAAAACAGATATCCACCTATAATTTCTTTCTTGGAGCCTGGGGAGGGTGAAAACAGCCTTCCCCACCCCACCCCCAGAGGCCCTCTGAAGGCCGGAAACGACCTGTTTCCCAACTTCCAGTGGGACTGGAAGGCCCGTTTTTTGCCCTCCCCAGGCTCCAGAGGCTTTCTAGGAGCCTGGAGAGGGCAAAAATGCCCCCCCACCCCCGAGCCTCTTTCCTGACTTCTGGTGGGCCCGGAAGGCCCGAAAATTAGCCAGCTGGTGCACGCATGCCTGCTGGAGCTGAGCTAGGGCAACGCTGGCGTGCCCACCGATATGGCGACACGTGCCACCTGTGACACGCGTGCCATAGTTTCACCATCACGGACCTAGATCAAGCTAAATTTACTAACAGTAGGGAATTCCTGGAAACTCAGCATTCAGACAAATTAGCCATCGACAGATACATAGAGATAAACCACACTTGCAGACCATTCAAGAGAGAGACTAAAAAAGCTAAGAAGGAAACCAAAAGACCAGAACACATCCTCCCCAGCAGCTTAAACCCAGATAAGCAGGGATAAACACCAGGCAAACGATCGAGCGGATAACAATACCCGAATCAAGGAACTGCAAGGAGAAAACCCTACTCCCGTTAAATCCGGTAGGGCAAGCTACTGTATAGAAAAAAGGGAGCAAACCCCCTGTAATGTCCTTCTATCCGCGGCTGTCAAGCCAGCATACCATACATCCCTGGCCGATCCTGAAAAACCAGAACTGTCACCGCCATTCAACAAGAAAAGGACACACGAACGCTGACCTCACGCCTCCTGGTTTGGGCTGTTGCCGGACGGCTCCTGAAAGCACCCCTTTCTTCCGCAGCATTGCCTTCGCCATCTCGCGATGTTTTTCTGCGACACCCAAAAAAAGAGAGAGAGAGAAATTCAGCAACTGGCTGTACTCTTTGGGCTTCTGTAAATAACCCAACTTTTAAAGCTATCGGTAACATCTCGTCTTTTTGCCCAAAATCAGCCTTTTGGTTCTGGGTACAGCACGCCCATTGTGAACAGCTGGTTCACCTAACGGTCACCATGGGTGATCCGCGTTATGACTGTCATGACTTCTGATCTTAAAATGGGCAGGATCCATTACAGTCGTTGAGGACTAGCTATAAACCGCACATTTCTGGGGAGGTGGAAAAAAACATGTGTTCTTTTACTTACGTAGCTTATCCTGAATAGAAGATGGTTTGTGCATAATGTAGGGGCCTCTTTTCTCTACTGGGGGCTCTCGGCACAACCTTCGTTTGTCCATTTGCCCCTGAAAAAGGAAAGGGGGGAAGTGAGAAGTTGAAAGAGCCGTTGCATTGGAGACTGATCAAAAAAATACAAAATCCAATCACGTCTCTTTCGTAGATTGAATAGAATAGAATAGAATCCTTTATTGGCCAAGTGTGATTGGACACACAAGGAATTTGTCTTTGGTGCATACGCTCTCAGTGTACATAAAAAGACAAGATACAAGAATCATAAGGTACAACACTTAATGATAGTCATAGGGTACAAATAAGCAAACAAATCATACTAGGAAACAATCAATATAAATCGTAAGGATACCAGCAACAAAGTTACAGTCATACAGTCATAAATGGGAGGACATGGGTGATAGAAACGATGAGAAGATTAATAACTATTAATCTACTATCGCAGCACCATTGAGTGTCCTAACATACGGCATTCTTGCATGGTATGGGAGCAGCTCTGTAGCAGACGAAAAAGCTCTACAGAGAATCATTAAAACTGCCCAGAATATCATCGGGCTCCAGCTACCAGCCCTGGACGACATCTTCAAATCTCTCTGTTTGAGGAAGTTGCATAACATTCTCAGAGACTCTTCCCATCCTGCTTACAATCTTTTTGGACTGTTGCCTTCTGGCAGAAGATACGGAACAATTAAAACTCGGACCACACGTTTTTCCGAATAGTTTTTATCCCAGAGCTATAATGGCACTCAACCATGAACTAAAGGGCCACCATCAGTGAGCTGTTGGACAGCATTACTTGGTCTGTTGTGTGGATGTTTGGGTGGTTTAGGGGTGGGGAATTGTGGTGGGTGGGGGGGGTGTTTGGGGATTGTTATGTGTGTTGGACCCGGTCTTTTGGGGTTAAGTGAATTTCATTGTATGGGTACAAGCCCCCTCACCCCCTTGCTCTGCCCAATTTTCCAAAGAGTTAGGAAGCCTCTCCCCCACCAAAACACCAATCTTGAGGGGTGGAGGCTTAGGGTCGGGGTGGGTGGGTTATCGAATTTATTCTCCCCTACTGGGCCAGGCTAGGAAAGCCTGGATCTCCCTCCTTCTTTTGACGTTATGAATGGAGCCCCCCCAGCCAGGAGCAGTCTATTCCGCCCCCCTCCACCGTCTCCTCCAATAGGAAGACCAGAAGAAGCTGGGGGATTTTCTTTTGGTGGAGGTAAGGCTTCTCAGAAGCATGAAGGGCCCAACTCAAGAGAGACCTCCAACCCCTCCAGACCCCCACAACCCCCCCTCACCCCCACACCCTTCCCACTTTCCAAAGAGTTAGGAAGCCTCTCCCCCACCAAAACACCAACCTTGAGGGGTGGGAGTGGGTGGGGGTTAGGGTCGGGTTTAGAGTTTACTCTCCCTTACTGGGTCAGGCTGGGAAAGCCTGGATCTCCCTCCTTTCTTTGACGTTATGAATGGAGCCTCCCCAGCCAGGAGCAGTCTACCCTCCCTCCTCCAATAGGAAGACCAGAAGAAGAAAAAACTGGGGGATTTTTTTTTAGTGGGGGGGGAAGCTTCTCACAGGGCTGAAGGGCCCAACTCAGAGACCTCACCAGGTCGCCGCTGGGCCCGAGGTGCGGCCCGGCCTCCTTTCCCCGCGGCGGCTCCTCCTCGCCTCCGTCTCCCGTCGCCATCGCCGCTTCTGGCGGAGAGGGTTCCCCCCACCCACGCCACACCCCGAAGCCACGCCCACCCCGTCATCGCGCCACTCCGCCAATAGGAAACGCGACGGCGCCTTCCCTTGTTCAAAATTAGCCTCCGACGTTCTCCCGGATTGGTCGCTCTTCTGTAAAGCCCCGCCCTTGCTCTTTCTCTCTCTCTCTCTCTCGCGAGCAACGCCTATGGGCGGGGTTAAGAGGTAGGGAAGCTGACCAATGGGAGGCGGCCCCTTGTTTGTTTTGTTTGTTTTGGGGAAGAGCAGAGGAGGAATGGAAGGGGCGCTCTAGGATGCTGGCGGACTTGCGCTCCGTGGCGTCTGTCAATTGCCCTACCATTGCTGAAATTTTGTTAAACGGAAGAACAGAAAAAAAAAAAAAAAAAACCAAGTGCAATTTTATCTCATTTGTGTGAAAAAGGGTTTTCTCCAGTCTGTTCCAGATGGACTGCAACTCCCATCTTGCTATTTTTCTTAATTTTAATGTTCAATATTTTGTTTGTTTTAGATGGTGGTTTTTTATATCTTGTTGTAAATTACATAACATTGCTTGATGAGATATACATTTAATTTAATACATTTAATAAATATTGAGGCGAGGAATTCGATTAACCCATTTCTACGAAGGGAAGCTGAAAGTGCCTCTGTGAAGGCATGTAAGGAGAAAGCAATATGGAGCAATTCTTAAGAGTACGTAAATTGAATTTAAAACCTATGAGCTGCTTTTCCTAAACTATTTTGTTCATTCTTCCTGGATCATAGGGATACAACTGTTTCACGTCAAGATGTAATCAAAATACATTCAGATTTACCACTATGAATTATCAAAGCTTGATATATGTTCTCTCATTTTACATGTCTCCATTTTAGTATTTACCCAGTGATAAAAGTCACCCGATCAAAAGAAATTACAGCCAGCAAGTTAACAGATCTCATCAAGCACTACCACATATTTTCAAAAGCTTCTAAATAACTATTAGGATTAGGAAAAGTGGTATAACTGACATGTTACGTTGCTTAATGTGCAGACTGGAGATTTTTCTTTTTATGTAGTAAATGCTAAGATTTGTGTAAGCGGCTGAAGTCAATCAAGCTTCTTGTCCAATTTATATTCCATGAAAGCAACATAAGATTCTATGTTGTTCTTAACATGAATTAATACTTACGAAATTATAATTTTATAACTGGGTTTAGCATGTTAAAATGCTGGATTCTTTCATTTTTTGAAATCTGAAGAACTACTTTTTGTGCAGAAATGTACAGAATTCAATGTCTGAATAGCATCCCACGTTTGTTCAATGTTGCCTTGGAAAATATATATATATATATATTTGTAATCCATAAATCACAGGCTATAAACACTAAAGTCAATTCAAACCATTTCCTCTTTATTAGGTCAACTTCACAATACATATCCAGGACTCAATAAAAGGAAGAAGTGATTTCAAATAAGTAATTATAATGTCTATAATATCCAGGTAATTGTTGTACAGTCACAGAACCTTAACGGTATTCTCATGGGAAGTCCATCTGGAAAAAAACAGATAGTTGGAATTAGTTTGGATGTATTCTTTTCAAGTTCCGTATTTCTTCATAAGCCTCTTGAGGAGAAAGTGGATAGAAAGTTTAAGAAAAGATGTTCCAACTTCAATACTAGCTGCAGATGAATACCTGGTTGCATAGAGCAATTTAAGGAATTTGTAGCATTTAATTGCCACTTGTCTACTCTTTGGATGCTGCTACATGTACACAAAAGCACCTCTCCTAATTTCTATTGTGCTCCATGCTTTTTTTACATTTTAAAAAACAGATCTGAGAAAAACTGATGCAGAAAAGACAAACAGAGATGGTAGGGAGGAGAGGGAGGGATAGAGGAAGAGAGATAGAAAGGACGGCGTAGCATTCTAATTGGCTGGGGCTTTGCAAATATGTATTTACCTTTGACATCACAGCCATTTTATGAATGGGGAAGCCCCAATCCATTCTGTGGGAGTGCCTGCAATGTATTCTCAAGACACCCAATGTGCCCCACAAGCAATAAGAGGTTAAGAGACCCCTGGTGTCCTCTTGTCCTGTAACGTGGGGAGTTTTTCCTGCATTTCCACTACATGTGCTTCCACTACGCATGCCATCTCCATAGAACTGTTTTGTTTTAGCATAAATTTGCTTATGTTAATTTCTCTGATTTTGCCTTGTTGGCAAAATGCTTTCACTAGTTCTCTCTCCCTCTCTGTGTTATGGGGGAAATAAATGGTTAATATGAGCAAATAGCGATTTAAGAAGAGAGCAGCATTATATCTGAATGCTGTTTAGAAATACAAAGATTAATTTTTTTTTTGTATTTGAGGGATGTCTGCTGCATTTTAAACTAGTGGCGCCCCAAAAAAGTAAAATGAAGTACAAGATGACTGAGATATGTTTTCATTTTTAATGTACTTTAAATCTCACAAGTATTAGAGCCCAAGTATTCTACAGAAAATTGGATTCCAGTTATTGAGAACATACCTACATTCTCTGCAAAGAGACAGCAATGTTTTTCTCTACCTTATCAAACATCAAACAGAATATTAAAGAACATGCGCTCAAGGAAAAATTAAAGATATATTTTCTTACTGTTAAGTTTATGCTTTGTCCATGTCAAGTTCTTCTGGAGTTGAAATTCCCAATTCATTCAAAGTTGGTCTAAGTTCCTGGATAACGTATGGATATATATCCCTGTATCTGCCCGATTTGTACTAATTCAAAGAGAACACATGACTTCAGAACTTAAAAAGTAGATTTGGCAAGACTTAAGCCCAAGAGCTTAACTTTTCTATGGCCCTGAATTTATCCAAGAAATATCCATAACTCACAAGCAACCAATATTTCAACTGCCAGAAAGCTGCAGTTAATTGTCACTCATATGTTTCACTGAACATTATTTCTGACCACTGATCTTATTTCTGAAAAGTTCATGTCCAGAGAAACTATAATACATAGGTGAAGTATATGGTTATTACATTCAGCATCTTGAATTCCCTTTTAAATTGATATTTATTTATATTTTTATCGATAACTCAAGGCAGTGAACATACGTAATACCTCTTCCTCCTCTTCCCCAGAACAACAATCCTGGCCCAAGCTCACCTAGCTAGCTTTTATGCCTAAAATGAGACTAGAACCCACCATCCTCTGGTTTTTAAGCCTGGTGCCTTAACCACTAAGCCAAACTGGCTTTCTTGGCATTGGATGAGTGTTAATGAACGAGGTGGAGCAGTCTGCACACTTTATCCCTGTATAATAAGACAGCATGCTACCTATACTATCTCTGAGACAAGGTCAGTGAATATAAATGATCTGGCCTACTGGCCACTGGTTCCTGCCTGATTCTTCCGCCTCTCTCACTCAAGGTCCATTCTGCTAGTGGTGAATGCTTCACTTTTAAGCTGTTCCCATATAAGGACTGGGGGTGGGGTGCGGTGGGAGAAGAATCTCAGAGGTTTGTTAGTGAACTCCACCATGCTTTATATTGTAAACAGAAGGATGCCTTCACTCACCTTTACCATTTCCAAGATGCGGATTGTGGTAGCAAAGTCATTTAGCCGCCTGCATGCCCTCAAAGCCGCATCAACAATTTTTGGTTCAGGAACCATGTCTGCATCGACTAAGGTGTTAATACCTATCAAAAGAAAAGAGCATTGAAGGAGAGTGCTGTGTGTCAGGTTTCGATGCTATCTCAAAATAAATGACACTGACACTGTGTTTATTCTAGTCCTCCCCTTATGTTTGTGATGCATTTAACAAAACCCTGACATAAAATTTAATTCTTTTCTCCCTCTGTGTCTCTATTCTATCATCTCAGATTTTGCCGTGGAGCAGATAAGGTGTAGTAACTCTGCTTTTATCCAGATACAAAATTTAAGACAAAATTTCGGGGTTAAAGTCTCAATTCTCTAACCTTTACTTCAATCTCAAAGTCTAACATATATTACGTTAATTGTAATATATTATACTTAGTTCTGTTGCACCAATGTAGCTGTTCAAAGTGGAAAAAAATAAACAGGAGACCTTTGTGATTTTTGCTCTAGGATCATTGTGTTCGCTCCAGGAAAGGGACCTATATAATTCCTTTCCCTCCCCCCCCCCCATGTTTTATATATTTTATTTATATAACATATAAAAATTCAATTTCCATTAAACAGTGTGTGATCTGGCTACAATTATTTTTAAGCAGCCATAATCCAAATGTTTGCAATAGTATTCATCACAATAACATTGGTAATATAATAACAATATTTAACATTTCCTACTTTAACAACTCTCTTTCAACATTTCCTCTTTTTATGTCTCCCCATTTATAACTTCTGTTTGTTATCTAACCATTGATAAAATAAGTCCCATATCAAAAAAATATTCAGTTTCTTCTTCGTCCTTAATAGTAAGCATTAGTCTATCCATTTCTGCACATTCTAATATTTTCTTAATTACACTCTCCTCTGTCGGGATCTCATCATTCTTCCATTGTTTGTGCAAATACAATTCTGGCTGCAGTTAATATAATTAACTATACAATTCCTATTGGGTTGCACAAATCAATCGAACCTTTAGAAAATACAATTTCTCTAATGCCCCCCCCCCCCGATGCTTCCTATGTGTGTTACCTTTCCTGAGTTCCCAATCATCAATATCAGGTTTGTTGAAGAACATCACCCAGCGAGCGTCCAGTTCTTCATCTGTGATCTCTGCTTTGTGAGCATAGCAACGCAGAGGTAGTGCTGGTTTTTTGGAACAAAAAACGGGAAGGAGCAGAAGACAAAGATGTGAAACATTCAAGGGTGAAGCTGCAAGGTGGTCCTGGAGCTATGACCGTAATGAATCTGCCCCATCAGAGTTGTAACCGTGATGGATGTAAAATGAGTCCAGCATTGGACATCACAGACTTTGGAATTGTTCCACAGAGAATATTTGTTTCCTTGTTCTAAATAATTCAACTCAGCAAAACAATTAAATACCGTATAGGCATAAAAGTGGGACATTTAATACTGGATTACTTCAGAAGTTTGATTATTCAAGGCATAGAAAGAAAATACTAACATGAGAAGAGCCTAAGAGTTTATATTATGTTAATATAGTATATTAGTATAATATATACTAATAATTAGGAGAAAAGTCTTTTCAAGTCTGTGGTTTTAATTCTGTAGAACGCTCTTAGCATGCTTGGTTTTGCCCTCTGGCTTGGGGGCCCAAAGGGGATGCTGGAGGTGGCTGATGGGATAAGAAGACCTCAACTCTGTACTGTCCATCTCTTGGTTCTTGGCTTCTGTGTAGTTTTAATTTTTTAACTGCTTTTTTAATTTATCTTTTTATGGTCGGTAAGCCACTCAGAATAGCCTTATCAGGGATATAAATTTAATAAATAATAAGGAAGATGGGAAATTATTTGATATTTTTGGAATTTCACTTTACTAATCTTAGTGTTGCAATCTTTTAAGGAGTCAATGAGGAAACGTTGTAATGTAATGTTGATTGACTAATGCTAATTCTTATTTCCACAGATATAAAAGTGTCTGGTAACAAATTCTTATTAAAAGACGCATGCTTTCATAAGCATATATAAACTGCTAAACGAAATGTAAAACCTTAAATATTTAAAGTGCAGTTTCATTTCCCTCATCTGCCCAATTCTACCAACACTGAGTAATTAAACTTTCAACATCTGTTAAGCAAATGGGCCTTTGGAGATATTAAAACATCATCAATGTAATATAGCAACTGTGAAAATAATTTCTTATGTGCCCTGATTATTTATTTAGCATATGCCAATGTGCCTTGATGCTAGGGATGTAAATAACTTTAAGGCACATAATAAAATCTTGCATGCAGCAAATCGGGGTAACATATTCCTGAGGCAGCCTCCAAGACCTACTCCTACTCTGAAATAGGAAAAAGCTGAAAAGGAATACCACTGTAAAATCTGAAGTAACACAAGGCTGTGAACCTAAAGGTACAAAGTCCATAAGGTAAGGGGAAGGCAGGGAGGCTATAACCAACAGGCTCTTCAACTAAAGCTTGTTAATAAAAGGGAGAGTAAAAACACAAAGGAATATCCTTTCAACTTCCTTAAAGTTATTAAGCTTTTGTTGCACTGTACATAATTTCTGGGTGTGGCCTATTAAGAATAGAAGCTATACCTTGAATTTTAAATAATGTCGTTAAAAGGTATAAATCAGAACAAATGTCACTGACAGATATTTGAATCTCATTTCAGGAGAGTCAAAGGCAGCGAATATGATCGTTTTCAAACATGACACCAGAAAAAAAGAGAGATTATGCTTTAATCCATCCAAGCAGAGCAGAACAAAAGCATAATATACATTTTCATAGTGAGAGAATACATTGCCTTCCAAAAAAAAAACCCAACTCCAGATACGATCACACAGGGTTAAAAATAGATGGACTTTAGATAAATAACCTCACCCATGTCACTATTTACTGCAATATTTGTTCATATATATGCAGAGGTAGAGGAGCCTAGGTAAAGAAAGAAAGGCGAAGGGAGGGAGGGAGGGAGGAAGATGAGAAAAAGGAAGGAAAAAAGAAAAAGATGAAGGAAGGAAAATGAGAAAAAGGAAGGAAGGAAGGAAAGAAGGAAGGGAAAGAGGAAGGAAAATGAGAAAGGAAGATAAGAAATGGAGGGAGGGGGAAGGAAAGTGATAACAATGGGAAGGAAGGAAGGAAGGAAGGAAGGAAGGAAGGAAGGAAGGAAGGAAGCCCATACAGCCCCAACCTTGCTGCCTTTTAAAAAGGCCTTAAAGCAGGTGCTCCCACAACCTTCAGCTCACTGACCCCTTCATAAAGATGCTTCCCCCACCCCCAACATTTATTTATTCTATCAAAACAATCTAATCAAGACTCCCTGACCTAACAGTCCATCCTCTCTTGCCCCCCCCCCCCTTGGGTGTCACTCAACACAAACCCTTCTGGGCAGCCCTTTGCACTCAAAGGCCCTTTGCTGTCCCACACCAGGCGAGGGACCTTGGGGTGTGGGTGACAATCCACCTTTGAGTGCATAAAGGCTCCCTGGGGCAGTCCTCTCCCCACTCTTCCCCCCACCCCCGCCCCACAGCCCTTTTGCCTTTTAACCTCAGAGCCAGCATGATTTCCTCCTGCGGGAGGGGGAAGTGTGTGTGTGTGTGTGTGTGTTTATGTGTGTATAGGGAGGGAATTCACCTTTGAGTGGAATAAGGGATCACTGGGGCAGTCCTCTCCCCTCTCCCCCCCCAACCTCCCCCCAAATCCTTTTGCCTTTTAACCCCCCCCAGTGAGCCTGATTGCCTCCTGGGGGAGAGAGGAAGTGTGTGTGTCTGTAAGTGGTGGGGATTCACCTTTGAGTGGAATAAGGGATCACTGGGGCAGTCCTCTCTCCACCCCCCAAATCCTTTTGCCTTTTAACCCCAGAGCGAACCCCATTTCCTCCTGGGGGAGAGGGGAAGTCTGTCTGTGTAGGGGGAGGGGAGGGAATCTACCTTTGAGTGTAATAAGGGATCACTGGGGCAATCCTCTCTCCTCTCTCCTCCTCCCCAAAATCCCCCCACAACCTTTTTGCCTTTTAACCCCAGAACAAGCATGATTTCCTCCTGGGGGAGGGGGAAGTATGTGTGTGTGTGTTTGTGTGTGTGTGTAGGGGGGGGAGGGAATCCACTTTTGAGTGGAATAAGGGATCACTGGGGCAGTCCTCACCCCTCTCCTCCCCCCCCCCTGTGTGTATGTGTGTGTGCACGAGAATTTGAATCTAGCAGTAATTCTACTCCAGTCAGCTTCTACATGAAGATTAAGAAATCCTTATCCCTCTGCAGTTCTTGGATGCCAACACAATTTACCTGCTGAATGCCCAAACTTCCCTGCATTCAGAGAAGGCATTTGGAGGTAGTTTGATGTCAATGCATGTCCATGCTTCAGTGTGTTTGTTTTGGGATTGGCATCAATCCAAAGCCATTTCTGTTCCTCACAGGGAGAGATGTTCACAGGTATATTAAGAAAAGATTAGAGTAGCATATGTGACCATGAGATCAAAGTCTTGCCCATTTGTTACAAGCAGTGTAAAAAAGGTCTACATTATGTAGATATAGCTACCATCTCACCTATTTTGACCCCTCCCTGTGGGCACCCCCAATAACTAAAATTCTCTATTGGCATAACATTTGAAGGGTGCCATTTTGAGAAGGGCTGTGGTAAAATGTTTCTGGTTTGCAAATGCTCACTGATTTCTCATGAAATCCTTGGAAGCCGCCTGAGAAGTGGATAAATGACAGAAAAATTCAGTAAATAGCATATTTTATTAATTTTGAAAGCATTAATAGAAATACAAAAATGGGCGAGTGAATGTTATTTATGCTAAGTTACAAGATATTTTATTTTGCATCTATTTTATTTATTGTGTTTAAGAACTGCCCATTTCTTTCACAGAGGTACTCGATGGTGGACAATAAAAAAGCCTTGATAGTACAAGGGTTTAAGGCACCCTGTTATTAAGCTGCTTAAGACCAGCTGCCTGCAATTACTGCAGGGTTCGACTCTCGCCAAGGCTCAAGGTTGACTCAGCCTTCCATCCTTTCTAAGGTAGTGAAATGAGGACCCAGTTTGTGGGGGCAATAAGCTGACTTTGTATAAATATACAAAAGGATGAAGGCTATTGCTGAGCACATTGTAAGCCGCCCTGAGTCTTCGGAGAAGGGCGGCATATAAATCAAATATATATATATATATAAAAAAAAAGCAGAGAAGCAGTATATAAAATGTAAAAGAGGCAAAGAATGTTGTAAATTAATTAAAAGACAGGAGGAATGCTTTCAGGGTGCTACTCAACCTCATGGATTCATGCTCCTATGTGCGTCCCAAGCAAAGTCACAAAGCCATGTTTTTATGCCTTTCTGGAAGGCTGTGTTTTTACAAAAGAAAGATGGCACTCCCTGGCTAAGTTGCTAAACAACACCCTACTTTAGGCTAAAATGAACTTTAGTTTGTTGGTCAGCATATAAAGGGAACATAGCCATTATTTTAGTATTTTGTATGGAATTGGCCTTTATGTTAAGAAATACAATGGTTTATGTTTGGGCATAGTATGGTATGCTAAACTATCGCTGTTCTGCAGAATTGGATGGCAGCAAAGCAATCAATGAAACTAATTTTTGCTGTCAACTTGTGTTTTTTTGTGGTATTTCAACCCAGATCTGGTAGCACAAATGTTAGTTAAACAAATATTTTGTTCATGCAATCCTAGGACTTAGTTTTTTGTGAATCCAGCCTGCATGGTGTTTTCTATTATGTAAGGGGAAAGCTTGTCCTGCCAAATGCTTTGCAATGAGCAGATATTTGAACAATTCCTTTTTACTTGGTAGTCACAAGAGGTGTAATACAATTTATGGTCACTTGGTGGCACTATTTGCAGAGTAAGCAACATAGTATTCTTTGGCATTTCTAAAACTGAACAGATTTAGCATGGCATAAGCTGTTTTCTTGTGTACTGTTGCTATTTTACTCATAAAGGTTAACAACATGATCAGTTGGCACACAGATAGCTAACATTTCATATCAAACTAGAGAGGAAGAACAATTTCCTTCTTTGACTAGAAACCTGAAAAAGCTAGATATTATTCATGCATTGCATATATAACTGACATGCACAAAACAGTGTTATATTTTGACATAACTATGCATACAGTAGATTTATTGGTATCAGGTTAAATTACTATTAATGTAAACCCTGCTGATTTCAATACCTTTATTAAAAGAATGGCTAAATAGGGTTGCAGGCCCCACTTGTTTGTATATTCATAAACATTAACACATGCAACCAATTGTGTCTTTGTCAACAAATAATGATTTAAATAACCATGCCTTAGTATAGCTTTTATTAAAGTTTAAATATCTCACAATATAGCTTCACAACTTCTCACTAGTTAACTTCTCATTTTTGTGTACAAAAATAGGTTTCAGCGGGGGGAGGGGGGAGGGTTCCAAAATTAAATAGATACAAGACAAAGATCTAGTGTATCATTTGAAGGAAGGTGCAATTGGCTATAAGGTATTTTTCTTTGGTCCTATTGGACACAAGGATCCTGATATAGAGCCCAGGTAGCAGACTACCTGCTGACAAGTTCTTGATCCTTGGCACATCAAGATCTTTACCCTACCTAATTGTTTTCCTGGGTTATTTTGATTAAATAGGAAGTCAGTATACTATAAAACAAAGGACCAAATTCAAACATAAGCCATACTTTCAAATATGCTACTGGAAAAATAGATTGCAGAGGCAATTTTTATAAAATAAATATTTTATAAAAAGTGGGTGGTTGCAGCCCAGAGCTGTGTTTGACCTCTGGTATAACTGAGATTTTGTGTTGGCCGCACACCCGCTCCCATGGCAACCATCTTACAAGGATGTTTTTAATATTCCAGATGTGTTCACTGGCCAAAATGTTTTGGAGAATCAGCTCTGGACTATGCATCCAAAGCTGGGATGGAGTTGATGAAGGCAGAGAGAAAAAAATGGAAGAAATGCTAAAATTGCCTACTTTAGACCTTAAGCCTCAATCATTATTGTGGCTGAAATTAATATTCAGTGGAAACTTGACTATTTAGGAACATTTAATGTTTCAAAAGCAAGATTCAGGTATAATGCACAGTGCAGTTTGTTCAGAAAAAAAATCATGTCTCTCCCACATTTTCATCATGTCGTCTCCACTTTATTGTGATCTTCATTTTATAGTGTATCTTCTTGACCTGAAAATATTTACTTAGTTTTGTTTAGAACTGACCAGTGCCACAAATCTCAAAGGAATGCCCTCTCTGCACCTTTAACATTGTGGGAACCTTGTTAAGATTTTTGAGACCACTCAAACACTTTTATAAGGACAGGTCCCTTGGGTTCTTCTCTGAGCAAGAAAACAACTAACAGTCCTGCATTCATACATGGAGTGACCTAGGCAATGGCTGCAGCATCCTTTTACTGTGATTACAGTATTTAAAAATAGAGCAGTGGCCAAAATTGTGGAAACCTTTTGGGAAAAGTGTATTTTCTAAAACTAGCAAATAACACCACCTTTTTTTTGGAGTAGTACCATAAAATTAGATATCAATGGAAAGATAATTTAATCAAGAATGTAATGCAATAACGTTTATGAAGGCTTTGTCATTAGAATAGCAGTTACAGTATAAAAAGAAAAACACATAGAAAAAACAAGATATACAAAAATTATGAGAGTTAATACTTAGTTGGGTAACCTTTAGTATGAATTACGGCCTTACAACATCTTCCCATGGAGTGAACCAAGTCTTTTAGTTCTGCAGCTGTTATAATGTGAAACCAAGATTGAATGATTGCTTCTATTAAATGGGGTTTATTGCTGGGTCGCTTCTGACTAACAAGTTTCTTTAGTCTGCTCCATAGATTTTCAATTGGGTTAAGGTCTGGGCTATTCCCAGGCCATTCCAGCAGTGGAATATGATTATCTTGAAACTAAAAAAAAAAAAAAGGTGGTGTTATTAGCCATCAACCTTAAAAATACAGTTTTCACAAAAGATTTCCACAATTTTGGCCACTATTGTAGTAATATTTGATGACCAAGTACATAGTGCTGTACATGTATGAGTTACTGTAAGTGATAATTGTGTCAACCGTCACAAATTATGCTACAGCCCTGGTCTCTTTGTGGCTTAGTATGTTGTGTAGAGCGAAGCATATCCTGTGTTATGCTAAACATTGTGGTTGTAAACCATGGTTTATAGATTAATTTGCTGTATGCACACAGCCAATCATGTTATATTTAAGGAAAGGTTTAAAGCTAGTCATGGCTTAACATGATCTGCAAGGTTAGTCATTCTTGCCATTTTCTAAGCAAATGAATGAGTTTGGTGTAAAGGTTAAGGCATCAGCGTAGAAACAGGGAGACTGTGAGTTCTAATCCTTCCTTGGACATGAAGGTTGGCTTCCCTTAAACCTTGTTAAGAAAACTTCAGGGGCTAGTCCAGACAGTTGCTGGTGTCAACACTAATTCAAAGGCAACAATAGCCCCCACCCCAGTTTTCTTGGCAAGGTTTTTGCATATTTCCCCACGCCCACCTTTAAATCAGTACACGGTACAAGGTCTAAAAGTGAGCAGCCAAGGTTGGATGCTTGGAAGAGGAAGAAGTAGCCTAGTGACAGTGGCCTTTGTCCCAGTGGCCATAGCCTCCTCGCTTTGAAGGTTTTTTTTCCTTTGTGACATCAGCTGTTTTTGAACTAAAGTTTTGGAATGATGTTGAAGAGACCCAGCATTCTGCGTAGCCCTTGGCAGTTGGTCCAGGGTTGAGTCCAGGCTACTTAGCTGAGGATTGATTCTGGTTTGACAGCAATTATATCCTCTGTCTTCGTGAGATTGAGGTGAGATATACTTAGATATACTCTTCTGAATCCTGCTACAGTCCAATTTTATGAACTGTTTGTTTGTTTGATTGTCATTCTCAGAGAAGCGCAAAAAAACACAAACAACTGGACATACTTCTATCCCTTTTTCTCCACAACTACTTTGTGAAGCAGGTTGGGCTAAAGAAAAGAATCTGGGCCAAAGCCATTCAGAGGCCTTCTCTGGCTGTGGGTGAGTGACCTACAAACCTGAGACTCTCCCATGCGGGCCCCATGTTTTCATTATGGTACCATAGTGGTTGCCATTTTAAAAAAAGCATAAAAATCTTGAGCATATTTTTCTACCTGGGATAATTATTTGGTATTAAACATTCCATTGTTGATTTATTTAATTAAAAACGAATTATTTAACTCTCCAGGGATCTTCCCCAATGCTTTATCATGGAAGGATGTAAAATGTTTATGGCAATAGTTATCTGAGGGTTAAACCTCCAGGGAAGAACTAGAGGGCTTTTTAGAGCTTTTAGAGCTTATCAAGGCACTCTATTGCGTTATGAATTTGAGAATTCCGCTCCTGAAAATAGCTGCTCAGGTGACAGTTATTTATTCTTTGCATAAGTTCTGGGTCATAGTGTAACTTATCTACAAAAATTGAAGTAGAAGTCCCTCCATTATTGTTCAGAAATTATGAACAGAACAAAATACCATGATTTAGCGGATGCACAACATTCAGGACAACAGCTCCAGGGTTCAGCTCATTCTGGTTTAATAAAGGACACGCGATGCGGTGTTCAAAAGGAGTCCTGGTTGTTGTTTGAAGCATTCGAGTTTACAGAGAATCCTTTCAGTGGAGGGAAAACGCTCCCGTCGAAGGAACCGGCTGTCTCTAGGCCACCAATCCGGCGTTTCGCTCTGCATCCGCGCAGAGGCGCGCTCCGACAGTGATCGGTGGGGGTGGGAGGGAACCCGGGAGCAGCCTCGGTGCCATTTTGCCGCGCTGTGTAGGTGTCCGCCGGGGGTCGCCCTGCTTTGCAGGCACGCTGCGGCTACGGTGAGACGAGGAGTGAGAGGCGGAGGCGGAGGCGGAGCTAGGCGGGCTTAGCGAGCGCCGTCTGGTCGGAGTTAAGGCGAGAGGCGCGGTGAATCAGCCGGCTAAGCAGCTGAGGCGGTGCCGAGGAAGGCTGCTCACCAGCCGGTCGGGGCTCCGGCACCGTTCTCGGGACGGAGCGACTGGCCAGTCCAGGGGGCGGCATTGGGGACGGCGCTCCGGCCGGCAGACAAGCAGGCACCCTCCGTGTGCCGCTGCAACGTGCACGGAACGAACCTCTGCATGCATTTCCTCGTTTGAGTCGCCGGAGCCGGGCTGGGGAAGCTGGACGGCCTCGCACCCGCCCCTCTACCGCCTCCCCGCAGCCCCCGGAGCCGAGCCGGTCCTGCAGGACCCTGGACAGAAACCACGGTGCCCGGAGGCGCGCAGTGCGGTGGGTACCACGGAGACACCGCGGCACGAAGGGGAACGGAGGAGGAGGAGGAGGAGGAGGAGGAGGAGGACAGGCGCCATCGCGTCCTTTGGGGAGGGGGAGGCGGGGGAAATGCAGCAACATTGCGGCGGGAGGGAGGACGTGCGGGAGCCCAGCGCTATCTCGCGCGCGTGCCCGGAAAAAAAAAAAAAGCAAAGCTTGGATGGAGAGAAGAAAAGCGATTTGATGAAAGAGAAATATTTATCTTCTTAAAGGTACTACCGTTTCTAGCTGTTTGGTAGGCAGGCAGGAGTGGGGAAATATACACGGTGGGCGTCTAATTAAAAACATGGGTGGCTAATCTTTCTCTCCCTCTGTCTTTACATGCATATGGACGGAAAGAGACCTTTTATTTTAGAGAGATGGAGAAGCATCTGACATCTTCCATGATAAATCAATTATTCCACAAGGTGCTAGGAGAGTCTTTGTTTTGCTGCAGCCAACTAATATGGCTCCCTCTCTTGAAAGCATCCCTGACACATTTTATACACCCATATACACTTGCCAGCATAACATTGGAGCAAGGGTATCTCTGTAGCCTTCCTCTCTAAAGATACCTAGCTTTTTCCTTCAGCTTTCGTGGAGTAGTAGTATGTAGGCCATTTATAGAAAAGGAAACCAGAAAGTGTTTGGTCTCTCTCTCCTCCTCTCCCTCCCTCCCTCTCTCTCTCTCTCTGTCTCTCTGTGTCTTAGAGATACGTTCCTACAAGGCTTTGGGCTTGAAATTCAAGGTCCCATTTTGCAGAGCAGTCTCTGCACGTGTCCAAATCAGGTGTTATGTGACTCCCCCCCCATTGACTCCCCCCCCAGAACAGTTTAATTTGGAAGGGAGAAATGGAGAAAAGTAATAATAAACATAATAATGCTCTTAGTAATGAATATAATTGAATGGGGTTAGTATTACTAAAAAGCAGGGGGTTGTATATCTGGGAGAAACAACCCCAGCCTGGGCTTATTGGAATCGTTTTTGCCTTTGGTAGGTAACTTCTGAATCCAAGCTATTTGAGGCAGTGACGGAAAGGAGAGCCAGCAGGGTTGAAGCAGAGACCCCCCGTGCCCTGGTGGTGTCAGCACCCAGCTCTGTCCACTTTGTTCTGCTCCCCGCTGCCCGTGCACCATGGGCACTGTCTTGAGCCTTTCACCCAGTTACCGGAAAGCCACCCTCTCTGAGGATGGTTCAACCACAGTGGGGCATTATACTGCAGTCCAGAACAGTAAGAATGCCAAGGATAAGAGCCTGAAGCGCCACTCTATCATTTCAGTGCTTCCTTGGAAACGCATCGCAGCTGTATCTGCCAAAAAGAAAAACTCCAAGAAGGTGCAGCCCAACAGCAGTTATCAGAACAACATTACACACCTCAACAATGAGAATCTAAAGAAATCACTTTCCTGTGCCAATCTCTCCACCTTTGCCCAGAACCAGGGCAATCAGCCTACAAATCACCAGATTTCCAGCTCCAAGGGCACCGTTTCTTCTGTCAAGAAAACACCCCACCCCAGCTGCAACTCATCTGGCACCCCCAAAAGGGTCCTTGTTCAAGCCTCAACCAGTGAGCTGCTAAGATGCTTGGGGGCATTCCTTTGTAGACGCTGCTACAGGCTGAAGCACCTTTCCCCCACCGACCCAGTACTGTGGCTTAGAAGTGTGGACCGATCTCTCCTCCTGCAAGGCTGGCAAGACCAAGGTTTCATCACTCCAGCCAATGTGGTCTTTTTGTATATGCTTTGCCGGGATGTCATTTCATCTGAAGTAGCCACGGACCATGATCTTCAGGCTGTCCTACTTACCTGCCTCTATCTCTCCTATTCCTATATGGGCAATGAGATCTCCTACCCTCTCAAACCCTTTCTGGTAGAGAGTTGTAAAGAGGCATTTTGGGATCGTTGCCTCTCCATCATCAACCTCATGAGTCCCAAAATGTTGCAAATCAATGCTGACCCACACTATTTCACTCAGGTCTTTGCTGACCTGAAGAATGAGAGCAGCCAAGAAGAGAAGAACCGGTTGCTCATTGGCCTGGATCGGTGAGCTAAAATTCCCCATCATTCACCCTTTCGTTTAATCTTGTTTTTATGTTATGTTTCTTTTCCATATAAGCCAGGACACATAGGTAAGACTGGACAGGCCTGAAAGAAATCAGCGGGTCTCAACCATTATTACTTTGGCTTCTATCAATCAAAACTGACAAGAAATGAAATGGGTTTGCCTGTTTGGTTTTCAGTTTTGCTGCATGTGATGGAAATGGCTTCTTTTCCAGATTGTAAACCAGGAGAGGGAAAAATAGAGTGGAGAAGCAAGCACCACAATACAGGATCATGGCATCCTTTCACCTTTCATTTGTCCTAAACACTTTGCGAATTGGGGTGAACTAGCTTGCAGGATTTACTTCTTCTCAGTGGAAGGCAGTGGAGGAACATATTTACAATTCTTAAGAAGATAAAGAGCAAATCTAGTAGATGTTCTAGCACCTGGTATTCTAGAAAAGGGATCCAAGATCCAAGAATGGATTTTAAAAAATAGTAAAAAATAGTTTCAACAAGATGACATCATCTCAGTACTGGCCTTCAAAAGGGACTCTTACTCCACGACAGTGTGATTATATTGAGAAACAAGTGGGTAAGGAAAAGTCAGAAAATATACAAGAGACACACCTCATTTTGTGTATATCGCCACTTGCACCCATTTCATTGGGGGCCTTTTACCTTGGCTCTGTAGGTTTTTTCTAATATCAGTATCAAAAGGTGAAGATGAGACTTGACAATCTTTTCTTGCTAAGGTAGATATAAGCCTCAATATGGATTGGGAGGTGAGATTTCAAAATAATCCCAGGCAATTGGTACTAGCTGGTAATTGATTTGTGGCAAGTGATGTATGTTAATATTTGACTGGTCAAAAATGGTTAATTCTTTTGAGGGGTGATATTTGCATAATATAATTTTGCTGTTCCAACAAGCTGACTTTCAGTCCCTTGAGATTTTTCTGAGCATCTGCAATAATGTTCCCCAATTCAATTATTTATTGAAAAATGCTAGGCATATGTTATTAAATATAGGAAATGGTGCTGAATTTCATTGTAGAAATGCTTTTCTTTTAAGGGGGGGTTCCTTGCAGTCCCAGCCAGAACAGTACTGTTCATGTGTGTTTAGCCAACCAAAACTCTTCATACTTTATGAAAAATAGTAACAGCCACAATAAGTAGAACAAGGAAATCCACTGAATTATAATAAAAGGTTTCCCTTCTATTATAGTGTTGAGGACTGTGAGTGAAGATAAGTTGTAATCTAAACCTGCAGCAGATACAAAATATTCAGGTATTTTGTATATTTTGTAGAGTGATATTGCAGAAGGTTCTTTTTGGGCCACAAATCTGTTCCCATGCTTGGAGACATTCTCTTCCACCTTGTAGACTTATAATTATATGTGAACATCTAAGAATTTAAATATTTTTCCCCACACTGAACATCTAAATATTTGATTAATGTTCAATTTTGATGCTTAGATATTTATTTTGTTTAGTTCTCTAGTTCCTAAACAATATGTAAAGGTTAAAATACTCTAATCTTCAGGGATAGTCAAAATATATAAAAAGAAAGGGTAGTGTGGAGACTAAATTTCCCTCAGTTACTAATAATATGTATTAAATGTCAATAGTCCAGATCTAGGGTTCTGTGGAAGATGTGAACTTTTTGAATGGAGGTAATCTCCTTCACTGTTTTAAGTTCTCACAAGCTGGACAGTTAAATAGTATAAAGGCAATAATACTCTGGGGTAAAGAAGGCTGTGGATAAAAGGATAAGTTAGAAATATTCTAGAAGGCTCTTCTAATGCTACTGCTGAGGATGCTGGCATTCCAGCAGAAAGGCAGAGGGAGAACTATATTGTGTCTTTAAATAGGGTAGCTTGCAATTAATTTAGAAAACAGCAAAGCACTATTAAAAATACAGAGGAACATTAAAAGCTGTGAAATATGAAAAGGCCAAAGCTAAGAGGCTGCAGTAGACTGGAACCAAATGCATATGTTGTGATGATTAAACAGCTGCTGGGTTTGTTCAGCAGGTCTTGCCACTGCCTCAAAAGCTAGGCCAAAATCTGAGCCATTAAGCAGTGAGATACTGTTAAGCTTGCTGCTGAGTTTGTAAAGGAAAACTGAGCCTTAGCATTAAAGAGGAAGGGAGGGCTCCTCTACAGTTCTTCCCTGCAAACCATTTGCTTCTCTGTAATGGGTGGCATCTATCATCATATCAGTTTCCCTTGGAGACCCCAGTTTCTCATTCAGTATTATGGCTGAGTTCTGGAATACTTTACAGTAGTGGCTCAGACAAAATTCTGGAATGTGTTTGAAGACATCATTCCCTTGGTTGTTCCAAATGGCAGCAAATCTTTTTGCCCTTCCTCTCCTTTTTAATGAAGACTATATAATAAAGGCAAATTACAGTTGTACTCATATGGATATGAAAGCTTAAAGCTGCAATCCTTTGCATGTTTACATGGAAATAAGTCTGATTCCTTGAACACAACTTATTTCTGAGTAGGTGTGCTTTAGATTGCACTGCATGGGAAGCAAATGTGACTTGGTGGTATAATTGATGTGCAAAACTATCTTTGCTTGAACCTATATATTTACTGTTTTATAGTGGGGGGGAAAAGGTCAACTGACGTACTTGATATAGAAGAGCAAAGACTGAGTCTTTAATATGCTGCTGTATGAAATGAATAATTTCAGAACAAAATTTATGCTTATGGCGAGAGGAAAAAGAAAACCTAATCCTTTTCTATCATTCCATTATTGCTTTACAGTAATACTGTGCATGCCAA